TGTGACAATCCAGAGAGGGGAAATTGCCTTTGTAGTATGTTAACCAGTTAAGATCCTTATTTAGTCTTAAATTGATTGTATTGAATTTGCAAATTAATTCCAGTTCATCTCCTTTTGTAATCAGGATTTGAAATTCTCTTGTAGAAAGATGGATATTTTCAAATCCATTACTGAATGTCCAAGGAGATTAAAGTGTTCCCTGCAGGTTTGTGTTACCGTTCCTAAAGTCTGATTTGTAGCCGTTTGTCCTTTAGCACAGAGACTGGCAGGTTTGGCCAATATATAGCATTGCTGACACTTATCATGTTAGTGGATGTGCAGTTATGTGAGCCTCAGATGTTGTAGCTTATGTGGTTCGGTCCTGTGATGGTGTCTTTTGTAGAGAGATGCGGACAGAGTTGGCAACGGGGTTTGTTGCAGGGATCATTTCCTGGGTAAATGTTTTCCTGGGGTATTGTGTGGCCACTGGTGAGCATTTGCTTCAGGTTGGGGGGCTGTCCATAGGTGAGGACTGGCCTGTCTCCACAGGTCTGAGAGTGAGGGCTCGTTTTCCAGGATAGCTTGTAGAACAGTGGTCTCCAACCTTTTTAACCACAAGATCGCTGTTTCAATATCAGTGCAATGTAAGATCCACCTCAAACCCAAATACCTTTGCCCGGCTCCCTTCCCCCTTCTCTGAGGCCCTACCCCTGCTCCACCCCTTCTCTGAGCTCTCACCCTGCTCTCTCCATCCCCCTTCTTCCCCTAATCTCATTCACTTTCACCAGGCTGGGGTAGGGGGGTGGAGTGCAGGCTCTGGTCTTGGGCAAAGGGGTCAGAGTGTGGGAGGGGCCATCCTGAAGGTAGGGAGGGCTGGTGGGGTGGATTCTGGAGTGGTTTAGGAGTTAGGGCATTCACTAGGAAGCACAGGGTGGTGGGCTCGAGTCCTGACCACCCTGGGAGCATCCAGGCAACCAACAGCAGCTGCCCTAGGGATAGAGCTGCATGTGGAAAGCAGGATAAGGGACCCTCTCAAGGTGGGGTGGTTTCTGGAGTGCCCATGGGATAGAGCATTTGCCCGGGGAGCACTGGGTGGTGTGTTCAAGTCCCAGCCCTCCTCTGTAGCCCAACCCCCCTCCACCCAGGGAACCACCAGACAGCCCAGCCAACACAGGATAAAGGGACCCATTGGTGGGATCCCCAGTGAATTCGGGGATAGGGTTACAGTCTCTGCAGCACAGGGGGGTGGCTCAATCCCCACCCAGGCAGCGGCTGGGCAGCCAACACCAGCTGCCCCAGGGAGGGAACTGGCTTCCACATTAGGAAAGCAGGATAAGGGACCCTCTGAAGATAAGCAGGTATGGTGGGTTCTGGAGTGGTCTAGGGAGGAGGGCAGGGTTGTGGGCTCAAATCCCACGCCATACTGGGAGCAGCCCAACAGCTGCCCCAGGGCTGGAGCAGAAGAGCTAAGGTACGCCTACTCCTGCCCTGGCCCTGCACCATTCCCCAAAACAGCAGGCATGTACAGCAATGGCTCCGTGTGCTGCCCCTCATCTACAGGCACCAACCCCACAACTTCTACTGGCCACAGTTCCCTGGGGAACTGCAGGAGGGTGTCTACAGGCAAGGACAGAGGTGGAGACCCCCCTGCTCTGACTTTCTCAGGAGCTGCAGGGACTTGCCAGCCACTTCCAGCTTAGGCGCTTTCGAACTCGCTACTCAAAGAATTAAATTAAATAAATTTAAGAATAAGAGAGAAATGAAAGTTGTGAAATGCACAGACAGACCAGTCAAAAACTGAAAAACATACTTTGCAAGCAGTAAAAGTAATAACACCCCAGGTACTATTGGGGTTGGGAGATGAGAGGGACTGACAGTGTGTGTGTGTGTGAGAATGACAGACACACACAGTGTGTGAGTGACAGAGATTTGCATTGCTGAGCTCCCTGCATCCCCTTCTCTCTGTGTGCAGATGTGCAGACAAGGTACAGGAGTGGAGGAGGAGGGACACCCTGACATCAGCCCCCCTCCTCCTTTTCTCCCTCCCACACCCTGCACTACAAGCAGGAGGCTCCCAGGGGGGCAGCTCCAAGGCAGAGGCAGGAGCAGCATGACAGTGGGTGGAGGGGCAACTGAAGTGCCAGCACTTGAGAGCTTCCTGGCAAACCAGTCAGGATCCCCCGTCAGAGGCTCCAAGATCTACTGGTAAATCCCGATTCTATTGGTTGGTGACCACTGTTGCAGATTGTCAACGATGCCTTGGAGGGGTCGAAGCTGGGGACAGTAGGTGATGACCAGTGGTGTTTTCCTTATGGGGCCTGTCTTGAAATAGATTACCTGTGGGTACTCCACAGGTGCCCCCAATTTGCTGCCTGTCTTGTACTGAGCATGTTCAGTAACGCTGCTGAAGCCCAGTGTCTTCACTTTTCCCATATCCCATGTCCTCACTCTGCCTCTCTCTCTCTCCCCCTGCCCCCACAATCATGGCATGCACAGGTTGGGCCCTCCCTACCAAACTATGAAATGCACCCCTGGGTCCAGCCTGTGGTCCTGCAGCAGCTGCATGTGGTCCGCACTTGAAAGAAAGATTGCCTGATTTAAGCTTTAGCTTTGAGGTTGTGAAATTGCTTTTAATTGGGCACGTGGGTAAGGGCACAAGATTGTCTAGTAACTCCTGTCTGCTCCTCACCTTTGTGCAGAAAGACAGATCAAGACCTCAGCATCACTTAAATCCCATTTAAGCCCTGTGAGGACTTAAATGCTACATAGATCTTATGCTAGCCCTCCACACACAGGGGGCAACTTTACCCAAAGGCTGTGTCTAGACTGGCATGATTTTCCGGAAATGCTTTTAACGGAAAAGTTTTCCATTAAAAGCATTTTCGGAAAAGCACGTCTAGATTGCCACGGACGCTTTTCTGCAAAAGCACTTTTTGCGGAAAAGCGTCCGTGGCCAATCTAGATGTGCTTTTGTGCAAAAAAGCCCCTATCGCCATTTTTGCGATCGGGGCTTTTTTGCGGAAAACAAATCTGAGCTGTCTACACAGGCACTTTCGCGCAAAAGGGACTTTTGCCCGAACGGGAGCAGCATAGTATTTCCGCAAGAAGCACGGATTTCTTACAGTAGGAAGTCAGTGCTTTTGCGGAAATTCAAGCGGCCAGTGTAGACAGCTGGCAAGTTTTTCCAGAAAAGCAGCTGATTTTCTAAAAAAACTGGCCAGTCTAGACACAGCCAAAGAGAATAATGAAGGGGCTAACGCAAAGAGAGAACCCAGCATGATAATTTCTCTCTTTCTCACAGACACATCATGCGCACCTGATTTTTAAAGTTTCTCCCTTTTGCATCTGGAGGTCTCCTCCCTCTCCTGTGCACGTGCTTTTCAGGGAGACATTTGAGAATTCATTATCACCATCAATATTTTTTATTTCCCTTATTCATATGGTCACTTTTTGGCAGAGCCCTGAGGACCCACTAGAGGGTTTTGGGGTTCTGCAAGAGATGACAGCTGTTGGGGAAACTAAAAACTCTGCAGTTCAGGGCTTCCAATCCCGTAATTGCATCCCCATGTTCATATTTATTTTCATCAAATGCACCATGGGAATAGCTTACTGAGGACTAAGGCTATGTCTAGACTGCAGCACTTTTCGGCATCCCTGTAAAGTAAAGCAGACACATTCTTTTGCCATCCCTGTAAACATTGTTTTATGAGGAAGAAGGGATGAGTCGAAAGAGGAGGTTTTTCTGAAATTTGGCTCCGTGTAGATGCGCCAAATTTCAGAAAAGCCACTTTAGAAAGAAAAGCGGAAAAAGATATGCAAATTGTGGTTCGCAATTTGCATATCTTTTTCCGACTTTTCTTTGTAGTCTAGACGTAGCCTTACGGAGCGCTCATCACTCAGGATATGTCTACACTACCACCCTAGTTCGAACTAGGGTGGTAGTGTAGACATACCCTCACTTTCCTGAGGGTGCCAAAGACCAGGCAAGAGGACTTTGGTCACTTAAACACAGAATTATACAAATCAGAGGCAAAATCAACCTGTTAATTCCGCTAGGTCATCCATCAGCCAATATGGGATCGTGTGCTGCAGGCGATGGTGTGCCCTGACTGCGGGGCTTGATATCTCTGTCACCACTAGTGCAAAGACTAAAATGATTCTGTCCCTCTGGAGCATCAGCACTTTTGTTGCCAGATCTACAGCTAGATCTATTTCAGGGAGTTTCTAGATTCTTCCCGTCTATATTGACAACTAGCTGGGAAATGCGGAGAGCAATCTTCATACTACACAGGGGAAACAGATATAGAGCCTCTCTCACTGCTAGGAAGCAAAGCAAATGCTGCCACCATCCTATTTAAAGTCATGAACCTGCCAATGTAAACTCCAGTGCAAGTGCGAGGAGGTTCAGCACAGGTGCAAGTATTGGTAAGGGCGTGGTGCAGCCCTCTATGGCACGTCTACGCTAGGAATTATTTCAAAATAAGTAACATTGAAATAATAATTCCCAAAATAAGAAAATTGAAATGGCACATCCACACTGGGGGGGAGCATCAAAATTGCTCAGAATTATTTTGAAATCACATGTGCTATTGGCATGTGCTCCAGGGGCTCCTCACCTTCCTGGACCTCAGGGAGCACAGCATCCCCTTTGTGGCAGCGGTGGCCTGCTGCGTGCTTCACAGCTTCTGTGCGAGCAAGGTGGAGACTTTCCTGCCAGGGTGGGGGGCAGAGGCTGAACAGCTGGCCAGGGCTTACGAGCAGCCAGACACCAGGGCCATCCGACAAGCCCATCTCAGCATGAGGCTCTGCTCATCCGGGAGGTCTCGGGGGAGAGTTTCAGCCAAGGCCAGTTGTGAGACTCTTCCCCTGTCCCTCTCCCCAAGGGACCCCTGCATTCCCTCTGTGTGAGTTTCCTCCCCCATCCATCCCTTTCCCTGCCCTCCCTTCCCACCTCCCACCCCCTTGCAGAGCAAATAAAAAAGCCTCTTTTTTTGAACAAACAGGTGTGTTTATTTGGAGAGTATAAAACAGGGGCAGGACCGGGGGAAGGGGTGACTCAGGGCTGGGACTGGGACTGGCGCCTACCTCGGTCAGCTTGTGAGGCTTCGGCTGTCCTCAAGGTCCCACAGCCCCATTTTCTAGGGCCCCAGCGACCCCTGGGGGGCGGGGGGTGGCTAGGAGGTGGAAGCCACAGGAGTAGGGGGAAGGTGGCTAGCGGCCCATCCATTCACGAGGTCACGCTCTCCACCACCACGCTGAGGGAGGAGCGCGTGCCCTCATGCCAGCTGGTCCCAGGCAGCCTTCTACTGCTCCCTGTCAGCCTGTCGTTCCTCCTGGTCAGTGGCCCGCTCCTGGCACTCCGCGTCATGCCCCCGGACAAGGGACTGGAGGCCACCCGTCTGCTCATGCAGCAGGTCTTCCTGGGTTTTCTTCCTCCGGTGGATCCTGTGGAGCTGGGAAGATGACGTGGGAGGTGGGGGCCACGCCGTGCTTGAAGCTGGCCCAGCTGTGAAGAAAAATGACATCCAGGAGACACTGTGAATGCAGCCTCGCCCTAATCTCAGTGCCGCCAGCGAGGTCTTAGTTCAGATGATGTGCTTCAAGCTAGGCCATGTGTTACCTAGACAGTGGGCACTTTCCTGCAGGGACACAGATGTCCCAGGGGAGCATCGCAACAATCACAGCCTGGGGACAAGCAGGCATGGGAAGGTGCCAGTCTGGGCAGGAGTCTGTGGGCAGGAGGGGGGGAATGGGGCAGCTCAGCTTCCTTGTGTGTCCCCCAGGCCAGAATCCTCTCCTGCACCCATACTCCCTCCCTGACCCTACACCCCAATCTCCTGACCCAGGTCACAACCCCCTCCTTTGCCCAAACTTCCTCTCAGACCCCACACTGTCTCCTGCACCCCAGTCCCTTACCCTGGGCACCCTTCTGTGCCCGACCTCCATCCTAGACCCTGCCCCCACTCCACAGAAAAGTGCGGCCCTTGACCACTTTCCAAAATCTTGGAGGGGCCCCCACCAAAAATTATTGCCCACCCCTGGCCTTAGGGCAGGGTGTGCTAAGGCAGCGGGGTTATCTGGCAGTGGGCAGCAAATGCCTGGTATGCCCATTCACAGCCCCCAATATAGTGAAGTATTTAAGGAAGCCTATCCTTTACCAAAGCACATGCTTAATTCTAAGTAGGTGCTTAAGAACCAGTCCAGGCTTAATTACTTTGCCAGCTAGGGACTGGCTGCTGAAACAGAGACTCATGCGTAGGTTTGGAATGAGTGGCTACGTCTACACTGGCCCCTTTTCCGGAAGGGGCATGTAAATTTCACTAGTCGTCGTAGGGAAATCCGCGGGGGCTTTAAATATCCCCCGCGGCATTTAAATAAAAATGTCCGCCGCTTTTTTCCGGCTTTTAAAAAAGCCGGAAAAGAGCGTCTAGACTGGCCCCGATCCTCCGGAAAAAGTGCCCTTTTCCGGAGGCTCTTATTCTTACTTCAAAGGAGGCTGAGGGAGTTGGGTCAAGTAGGAATAAGATCCTCCGGAAAAGGGCGCTTTTTCCGGAGGATCGGGGCCAGTGTAGACGCTCTTTTCCGGCTTTTTTAAAAGCCGGAAAAAAGCGGCGGACATTTTTATTTAAATGCCGCGGGGGATATTTAAATCCCCTGCGGATTTCCCTACGACGATCTCTGAAATTAACATGCCCCTTCCGGAAAAGGGGCCAGTGTAGACGTAGCCAGTGTGTTGAGGAGCAATTTGTTAGTACCTGGGCTGATGCTAAATCATAGATCATAGAATAATAGGACTGGAAGGGACCTCGAGAGGTCATCGAGTCCAGCCCCCCGCCCTCAAGGCAGGACCAAGCTCCGTCTACACCATCCCTGACAGATGTCTATCTAACCTGTTCTTAAATATCTCCAGAGAGGGAGATTCCACCACCTCCCTTGGCAATTTATTCCAATATTTGACCACCCTGACAGTTAGGAATTTTTTCCTAATGTCCAATCTAAACCTCCCCTGCTGCACTTTAAGCCCATTACTCCTTGTCCTGTCCTCAGAAACCAAGAGGAACAAATTTTCTCCTTCCTCCTTGTGACACCCTTTTAGATATTTAAAAACCGCTATCATGTCCCCCCTTAATCTTCTTTTTTCCAAACTAAACAAGCCCAGTTCATGAAGCCTGGCTTCATAGGTCATGTTCTCTAGACCTTTAATCATTCTTGTCACTCTTCTCTGTACCCTTTCCAATTTCTCCACATCTTTCTTGAAATGTGGCGCCCAGAATTGGCACTGCTCTCCAGACACGTCCGTTTTTCCTTCACACGTTGCTTCCTTTATACTCTTCAGTTGTGGGTATAAGGGAATGTACCAATGTTCCCTCTAATTTTTTTCCATCCATGTGTGGAATAAATTTTGTTATCTGCACAGATGTGCACCACAATTAGACACACATGCTGCCGGCTGTGGGCAGTCTGCTCTTCAGCAGGGCAGCATTTGAATCTCTCCCGAGGGGATGCCAAAGCGCTCAGCTTACAGGGCACACTGGAGTGCACATGAGTCTTATCTTTGCATTCAGAGTGTAGAGGATCTGACTGGTACTAGTGTTTCTACCCTCCCTCCAACTACAACCATGCTGAAGTACAACAGCCTTGCACTCCCACGCTGCGACTCAAATCCAAAATGAAAAGGACCTACTGATTTAGGGCTGTGTAGGAGGGATCAGGGCTGGATCTGACTTACACAGGAGAAGCACCATTGCTTTCAGTGGAGATACTCATGGTTTGACACCAATGAAAGGAGAATCCTGCCCAAGTGTGCTCAGGGTCAACAGGACTGTCCCCCCCGCCCGCCGTGTCAGTTCATTTGTGCCCTTATTGGTTGGCAACGGGAGCATTAGTATCCAGACTTAAGGTTTTTTCATTTTATCACCTGGGGAACCCAGCTGTAAAACTGTGAGCTGCCATGCTTCAGCGGAAGGGAAAAATATTGATCACTGAATGGCTCGCTTTGCAATGCTGGAAAGTAATGAAGAGGAAACGCTTTAACACCGAAGTGCATCTCGATAAGGAGGCTCTCGCCTCCCGCGTTTTATTATGAAACCTGTGTGTAGTGCTGAAAATCCCGAATGATCCCTAGCACTTGGAAAGGACAGAGGAAGGAGTGAGTCGGCAAGCATGCGAAGAAGGGTTTTAAAGAATATACAGGGAACGGATGCTATTGTTATAAGGCTCCAAATTAGACAGACCAATCACCTCGCGTATGGAAGCATTGGCTACAATTTTCCAAGGTGGCTGGTCACTTGGATAGTTCCGTTTTTGGGCGCACAACTGGAAACCGCTTCAACTGACCTGATTTTCAGAAAGTGCTCTGCAAATTCCAGCTATCATTCCTGTTTTGAGGTGTAAAGTTTCTCAATTTTGACATATCCTAGTCCTACCAAAGCAATAGCTAGCCAAGTGCTGTTACATGATGATACATTCTTTAATTACATGATCCCATACTAATTTTTTCTTCTCTGTTTCCAAATCCCTACCCAGCTTCATGAGGAAAGTTTTCACTAAGAATTGTGGTCTTGATGCTCTTTTCGCTTACATCCATTTTACTGCAGTGTAGCTTGACTGATTTCACTAGAGTTCTACTTAGTCGCACTAGCTAAGGTCATGGAGTTAGGTCCATCAATAGCAATTAACTAGGATGGGCAGGGATGGTGTCTCTAGGCTGTATTTGCCAAAAGCTGAGAAAGGGCAACATGGGAGGGATCACCTGATGATTCCCTGTTCTGTTCATTCCCTCTGGGGCACCTGGTCACTGTCAGAAGACAGGACGCTGCATTAGCTAGACCAGCGGTGGGCAAATTCCGCAGCTCTCGTTGGCCATGAACAGTGATTCGCAGCCAGTGTGAGCGGCGGGAAGCAGCGTCCTGGTCCCATTGGCTGTAAACAGTGACCAACCAGAGCTGCGCTCCTCCCATCTCTGCGAAGACACAGGTAAATACAGTGGAAGCAGCCTACCAAGGGCTAACCCTGCCATTTTTTTATTGCCCATGCCTCACCTGCACCCTTGTTCTGAGACTAAGAAAATGGGCTAGGAAATGTCAAAACTGAGAAACTTTACACCTCAAAACAGGAATGACCTATGAAGAGAGACTGAGGGATTTGGGTTTGTTTAGTCCGCAGAAGAGAAGAGCGAGGGGGGATTTGGTAGCAACCTTCAACTTCCTGAAGGGAGGTTCCCAAGAGGATGGAGACAGACTGTTCACAGTAGTGATGGATGGCAGAGCAATGGTCTCAAGTTACAATGTGGTAGGTTATAGGTTGGATATTAGGAAAAGCTATTTTACTAGGACAGGAGTGAAGCACTGGGATGGGTTCCCTAGGGAGGAGGTGGAATCTCCATCCCTAGAGGTGTTTAAATCCCAGCTTGACAAAGCCCTGGCTGGGTTGATTTAGTTGGGATTGGTCCTGCCTTGGGCAGGGAGTTGGACTTGGCTCCTGAGCTCTCTTCCAGCTCTATGATTCTATGATTCTGACCCTGTAGGGCTGCTATTATGCCTGAGTATAAGTGAATCAGACCCTTGAATTTTTATTTTTAAAGGGGATAAAAGTATTTTCTCTCTCTTGTAAAATCTCCAATGCAGCCCTTAGAAGTCTCAGCATGCTGAACGGCGCCTGCTTCATTGCGCAACATTTTGCTCTTTGGAGGAAAAGCAGGGAGCGCTTGTCAGAAGGGTAAATATTACACTGTAAAGCAGCTGTTGCTCTCTGAACTTTTGCTTGAGCCTGTTGTGGGCATCCAGGATACTGACCAAATGTCAGCCGGAATATGAGTTTGAGCTGCTTCAAGGAAAACCAACCAGAAAATATTATTTAGCTTTACAGTGGGTTGGGCGATTTGTCAGAGAGAAACAGGACCACTGCCCCATCGCCTGGATTCTAATGAGATCAAATCCCAGCAGCCTTACTCCGCTTTGTGTTGTTCTTACTCAGAACTTACGGCTTTGTCCCAGTTAGCTGATTGACTCAGGCAGCATCTAAGAAAAGGAGTCAGGATCGACTGTTTGCCTACCTGTCATCACACCATAATCCTAGCCTGGAGGCTCTATGGGTCAGAAACTGTTTTCCCCAGATGTACACTGCCTGGAACAAGAGGCCCTGATCCCTGAATCTACAACCTATCCTGGAAAATGACCCCTCACTCTCAGAGGCCTTGAGGGGGGAAAGGCCAAACCTTGCTTCCAGACAACCCCCTAACCTCAAACAAATTCTTACAACACACCTCCATTGTAATCATCCAGGAACCCACCCCTGCAATCAGCCCCGGCGCCAACTCTGCCCACGCATCTGCACCAGCGATTTCATCGCTGGACCCAACCACAGCAGCCAGCAAATCAGAGACTCATTTAACTGCACATTCACTAATGCAATCTATGCCATCAAATACCAGCAATGCCCCAGTGCACTGTATATTGGCCAAGCTGGACAGTCTCTACGGGAAAGAATTAATAGACACAAATCAGA